ATTTATATATATATAAACATGTTTAGTCCATTAATAACAGTATATATATATGTTCATATTTTTGATTTTTATATGAGTTGTGCAGTTTGTATTTGCTGTGTTACCACAGGTTGGATACATTGTACATACATTTCACATGTCGCCAGTAATTGCCTCATTTTGTTTGTTGGAGATTTGGATGTAATTTTCCCTTCTGCAGGGTGTTTCTTTAGGCTGCTCTGTGCGCTGTTTGTACACCAAGCGCTTTCAATGTGCAAGTGAACATGCGCCCAGTATAGACACGAGTGTGAGCCTTGCTCAAGGTGCGCACTGCACGTGTGTTTGGTCTGTGCCACAGCTTGTGCAACGTGAACTGTCATGCCTCTAAATCTGACATCATAGTCTGACTGGCTGGTCACTGGTCAAGGCTGATTACACTGAAAACCAGCCAAAATAAAAGGATCATCTTTGGCAGCCTTTAACTTGATGAGGTATTTGATGTTGTAATTCCTGCTTGTTGCACATAGATGTCAGTAAAAGTTATAGAGAATCTGGTCTCAGCCCAGCAAGATGGTGTATGCATCTATGGTTAGATTTCAGCTGGTATTTGTGGCTGGTAGTTATTTTATTATTCTTCACAGCAGATAACATGTTCTCTGTTTCTCTTGTTTTGTTGTTTCAGCCCTGGACTAGTTGGAGCTGTAGCTGTGTGGCTGGGCAGCCTGGCTGCCTCTTTGCCTCCACATGAATGAAGAGCACTCCAGGGCACAGAGACACAGCTGATACAGGTCAGGGGTGCCCCTCGCTACCAGGACACACACAGCTATCACCATGTTGCACATTTAACTTGCAGCCACTCTATGATGGTAGCATTTTGTTTTCTAATTGATTTCCACTGGTTCAGTTCATTTGTATAAAATCATCATCTCCAGTCCATCACAGTCGGTGATGGACAAGATAGATTATCATGAAGAGCTGATGTAGACTGCTGGGAAGGACTGGTTGACAAACATTGTTGATGAGTTCAAAGATACTGTAGCATTGGACATTTTAACTGAATCTCACAGGTTGGAATATTGTTTCTATTGTGAGTGTGTTGCACTGGCCAAAGCGCTTTACAGGAGATGATACACCATTTACCCATTCACACACCGATGTTGTTGCCACACAATGGCGCTAGTCAAGCCACCGGGAGCAATTCGGGGTTTAGTGTCTTCCTCAGGGACACTTAGGCATGCAGGGAGACCGGGAGTTGAACCACCAACTTTCTGGTCAGGAGACAACTGCCCTACCTTGTGAGCCACAGCCACCCAGAAGCAGGACGGTCAGCTTGGTGAAATGTGTTATTTTAGTGCCGACCAGTTGAATGCTGCCTCCTAACTTTGTGAATTTCTCTCCAAACTGTGACACTGTGTAACATTTTGGTGTTTACAAAGGGTCAGGTGGAGTGAGCAGGGAGAGGGGAGGGCTGGGCGGAATCGAAGGCTATTGATTCTAGAGTCTCATGCTAGTGCTGGCTAGATTTTGAATTAATCCTTATTGTAGCTTTAAGTCTCTGAAAATGGATTTTTACCTTAACAGAACTGGCCACCTGTAGCAGGTCTGTAGAAGTGTGATTAATGGTGACAGCCATGTCTAGATTTCTCTTTAATCACCTGTCACTTCACCAACTGTGATATCGGTGAAGATATTGGCAGAGCTGTAGCCAAAATGTTGGGTTAACAAACAGCCGATAGGAACATTTGTAGAAAAGATGGCACCGTCAAAGCAAGAACAAAAATTAAAACCAAAAGGCTATTCCTTACAATGGGGAATGGTCATAGTGTCTGATAAATGTCCTGTGATTTCTTTTTTCTCCTCAGGACATGCAGGTGTTTCTGCAAATATGATGAAGAAAAAGAATCCCCATAAGTGAGTTAAGATGCTTTGTAGCTCTTTTATTTTTGTTATAGCCAAAAATACCTGGATTCAAACTTGCTGTAGCAGAAAACATGAGATTGTAATAAAGATAATGTTTCTGTTTCCACATGAGGGCATCAAACTAATGCAACTCAAAGAACAATCAGCAAACAGTCTAACAAAAGATAATATTTACCATGTGTTTTCCATGTTACTATAAGGAAACATAAGAGCAGTCTGGGTCCGACCACTAAAGTTTTGTCGCAGCCTCGACGCAACATCGTCGGCTGCAGAATCCAACATGTCTGGAAGGAAGGAGGAGGCCACGTGGTCTGGAAAGGAACAGTTCTCGACCAGGTAATCAAGGAGTTGAGTAATTACTGATTGAATGAGGGATTAAAGGAGCCTTTCATAAACTCAGTCAAGTATAGACATTGCATGTTTCATATAGTGTCCAATCATATGTCCTGCTCTAACACTCTAAGCAGTCCATATTAAACAACAAATATCCACACAGACCAATGCTGAGCTCTGTGTTGTCACTGCCACTCTGGTGCCTGCTTCAGGCAAACTAAAATGTTTGTTATAGCTGTAGTAAACAATTAAAGGAGGGAAGTGTATTGTATGTGAATAGAGGCACAAGACAAAGACAAAGAAAAAAAGAGTTTCATTTGTATGTTTCAACCAGGTCCCAGTAAACCCGTCTCTCTATCTGATAAAGTATGATGGTTTCGACTGCGTTTATGGTCTGGAGCTTCATAAAGATGAGAGGGTTCAGGGGTTGGAGGTGCTCCCTGACAGGCTGGGTAAGACTGAGCTGAGCAGTCACACTGACTGAACATAAAATAGAAATTGTCTAACACTGTTAATGTTGGTAGACAACAGGGGTGCTAACATTGCATACATATAACTTCTTGGACTTTTGTCTTGTCTTTAATTTTTATCCCTGCAGCTAAATCCCGTCTGACCGATGTGAGTCTGGCAGATGCTATGATAGGTAAAGCAGTGGAACACATGTTTGAGACAGAGGAGGGTCCAAAGGAGGAGTGGAGGGGGATGGTGCTGGCACGTGCTCCCATCATGACCACCTGGTTCTACATCACCTACGAGAAAGACCCTGTTCTCTATATGTACCAGTTGCTGGATGACTATAAAGAAGGAGACCTCCGCATCATGCCTGACTCCAGTGAGTGAAGTTATTTTAGTCTATACTTGTTTAAACAGGCAAGGATTTTAAAGAGGAACCCACCTGAACCATCCTGGTACTTTTTCTGTCTCGAGTATTTGGATTATATCTAGATCAGTACCATTATCCAAAATTAAAAGGCAGGTGTAAATGCACCCAGGTAGGGCTGTGTGGCAGTCTGATATTACTGGAATGGTATCTCAATAATATGATGTGTTAATTTGTTTTTATAAATAAATAATTCTCAGCTAAAATTGTAATTAACAACAAGAGAAGGAGCTTAAGACAGCAAATGTTCAATGGACTTAACATCAGTTTGATAATTTATATATGATTCATCATATATAAATCATTTTTATTACATATTTTAAGAGCACACTGCTTTTGTTTTATTCAG